CTGAGTAATGGCCTAAAGACCAGAACTTCTAGCCAAATCTTGCATTTTGCTAAAACTACAAATCAAACTTTGAAAAATTGGTGCAATAAGAAATAAAGCTTCCCAATAAAGAGAAAGGAATATTTCAGCTGCTGTCATCTTAATACCTTCTTGCAGGAAAGAACTCTTTTTGGAAGATGGCAAGGGAAAGCAAAAAGGGGTAGCAGTGCCTACAGCTGATAACACTGACCTGTTTTCCTGGCATTCCTCCAAATGCAAGGCCAGCTTTGCTTGAAATATAGGTGATTCATCAATTGAATTGCAAGCAGACAGTGTGGTGCAGAAGCGCAGTCATAGACGCGTTATTATTTCAATAACCTGAGTTTTAGCTGTTCCACTTTAAAAACTAATGAAGCAAATAATGTTATGACACAGATGTAGGCAGTGAAAATGTGTCAGAGAAAGGCAATTAACCTCTGTACTAATAAAGTCTGTCAAATTAGTAAAATATTTTTTATATATTATAATAGCTAATAAGAAATATATAGGCCATGAGTATTCAATGCTGAAAGCCTAGTGGAATCATTTATACCTACAAAAAGTAGATGTAAAACTTCATCAAGGAAAGTAGGAGGTTTTTATATCTTCTTTCCACAAGTGTAAATGACTAAAAAGTCACAGGATGACTTTTGCTGGGGTGGGTTATGGATTTCGCAGGTCACATTAGCATCATCTTCCTCCTACTGCAGCTACATAAAGGCATTCTGTATTATCAGTTCTTCCAGACATTCATGGGCATTCCGAGCTGAAATACAATTGATTAAAAACAAAAGCAAAATGGATTCTGTAATCCAGCTACCTGGCTGGAGAAATGGGATTATATGAGATGGTTGCCTGGAACAGGAGAAGGTTCTCTCCAGTCCTTGTCCTCTCCCTCTGCCTCAGCATTTGTGATTTCTCACACTGACAGGTACTGGGAAGCCAATGTGGAATGTGAACCAAAGGTGGGACAGTTAAGTACAGGCTTGAAATTCTTTGTGAACTCACGTAAAAGTTATTGTGGACAAAACTGACTGGTCCCATGGGAGAAACAGCAATATTTCTGAAACAAGTGAGCTTTCTAATGCATTAACATTGTTGTGCTATAACCATCACTTAGCTGTTTCCCGTGCTACTTTGACAAACTTAGTCTATTAGTGAACATGACATCCGCAGTTCTGTCATATTGTAACGTCACCAAAGTTGCTGGGCACTCACACATTGACAGTACAAATACACTGAAAAACATAGCATGACCTTGTGTATGTCTTTTAGGAGACACAGTAGTAAAACATCCTTTTATCTTGTTTGCAAACACTTCAGACCGATGCATTAAGGCACTCCGAGGTTAAAACCCCTGGTAACTCCAACAGCAGTCACCTGCCGTCTTTTCTCTTAAAGCAAAACCTTTATGGTGTGGCTCATATTTACAATCCTACACAGCCATACCTTGTGCTGGTAGGTGTGTGATAAAAGCAAACTTTTATCAAAGTTTTTCATCAAGGTTTTCATATCTTAACTGTGTCCTACCTCTATACCTACAGAAGTGTTACTTGAACGTATTAAATAATATTTAAATATTAATAATTAACAACAAACACCTCATATAAGTTATCGTTATCAAAGGGCACATGCTCCTGATTATGGCCTCTGTCCTTGTGCTCCCCTGCACTGTACACTCTTGTTTTTCCTGGCACAAAGGACCTTCCTACCATGGCCAAGACTTCTTGGATGGAAGGTATTGCACTGGAGATCAGGCGTGGGCCCTTCCCATGTACAGCCAGCCGGTAATGCCCTTCCTGGGCATATGTAAGTCCTTCCTCTGATTTCATTTGAGTCGATTCGTATAACTTTGACTAACCAAGTGATTGACCTGATCACCCACATGACCACCCACCGGGGTGCATGTTGCGTCTTGCACAGCATGTGGGGATGCTGGTAGTGTTAGCAGCCGTGTCCCAGTGACACAGTTCCTGGTGCAGCCATCTTTTGCCCAAGCTGTCATCAAACTGGCTCTTGTTAAATTGTATTCAGAGGTTTGAAAAGCCCTCGACTGAGTTATCCACTATGAAATACGAAGTTTGGCTGAACTTGATTAAAAGAAATGGTAGAAACCATGTTATTTTAATCACAAGTGGGTTGTGGCTTTTGAGTTTGTTCTAATTAAACATCAGGTCAGATTAACTACTCAAAGGGTCTTGCTTTTTTACAGGGTCTTAAAATAATAAATAGTTTGGTAAGTTTTGGATTGTTTTAAACAGGCTATTTATTGATTGGGAAAACAGCTTTTAGTGCTTTTTTAATTACACGGTGAAAATTACATGAAAAGTTAATTTTTTTACTTCTTATCTATATTTTAAGAAGCTTTGAAAGGATTAATTAAGCATCCAGACTACCTGCTGAGGTAGGTAAATGTTACTATCTCTGCTTTTCTGATGGGGAATCTGAGCCACAGTGCTGTGTAAAGCCTGAATCCACCATGTCTCCGTTTCAGAAAAAGACAAGGAAGATCAGCACCTGCCAGGGAGTAATTAATAGATTAACAGAATCAGGTGTGAGTGGCTTTCCCAAGGTCAAACTATAATGTTATGGACAGACAGTTGCAGGCATTTGAGTTAATGAGTTACCGGTGGTGAGCTGAACTGTGAAAAACTGACAGGATACGTGCTCCTAGTCACAAGTGATGTACATGAGAGTACAAATTGCCATGAAACTTAGCATTTGTGGTGCCTTAGGGTAGCCTCACCACAGCTCATCTGATTTCCTAGGCCACCACAGCATCTTGATAGCTGGTGGTCCCGTGTCCCTGTGTCAAAGTCCTCCTTCCTGTGGTGTGATCAGTAGGGGTTCAGAGATCTGCTCTGCAGATCCAGGCATGGGAAAGTAGCTAAAAGAGACAGTTTGGCTCTGGTTGTTATCAGTAATATCCACAGATTTTGATGATTTCCACACCTGAAATAATTTTCTTATACTAATGGAAGTTCTTCATTTAAAAACCACCTCCATCAAATCCAGTCTTTCTGTTGGTTATTTTTACAAAATATGGCAGAATTTGCCATTCGTCTGTATTTAATGATAGGCCCCTACAAGAACCATCGCTCATCTGTGAGCTGAGAACAGCCCTTCATACTGCAGTCTTTCTGCTTTCTGTTCATCTGTATCCCAGTCCTCATCAACAGTTTCCCGTGGGAATTGTTATATTAAAAGTGTAATGACAGAAACATTGTTTTGTGCAGGACTGTTCAGGAAAACGATGAGTGCTGAGCAGATGTGTGTATTGAAACCTCTGAGTCTCTGTGTTTTGGTAGGTTTTTCTCTAAAGCTGTAGTTAACCACAGTCAGCAGCGTGCTTGAAAGGGTTAAAGAAAAACAGGTTTGAGGAAATATTCGGAGCTGTGTGTAGGTGCCACACGTTCAGAGATGCAGTTGCATGCACGCTTGCAAAAAAGACGCAATGGGAAGTGTGTCAATCTCCTTTCTTTGCAGATGCACGTATGTCTGTGTAAGCAAGATGCTGGTTGCCACACAATTAGAGCACGGGGCTGTGTCCCAATGCCCTAATTTCTGTTTGTGACCCTGCAGTGGCCTGGCATGTGACCAAAGACAAAGCATTTGACTTCACCAGGTCAGTGCCATCACAAAGCAGAGTGACCACGTGGCCGTGTGAATCACCCAGTGCTGCAGGGTTAAAAGTGCTATCAGGATGCCAAGTACAAAGCTCAGTGTTAGTCACGATGTTGTCTTCCTCGCTGTTAAATTTGGGTATCTATCCACTGCGGCCAGTTTGAGATCTCAGAGCTTATCTGCAAAGTGTGTTGCATGAACACCTGATAGATTGTCTGAGGCTCTATAACAAATATTTCCCTTTTTTGCTTTTGCAAGAGACTCACATTTCTCCAGCTCCTCTGTAAGTCTGTGGAATAAATTTCAGTAAGATGTATGACCTACCAGAAACCTAGATACTTTGCTAAGATGCATTTCTTCAACTCTGTCTTCAATACCAAAAGCGCAGATAATAGCAGACATCAATAACCTTATTTTAAAGAAGTTATATATAATGTATGAAAATATAAATGCATTATATAGCTATATTTGACAAGTGAACTGCGTATACTCATATTTATTTTCATCTGTGAAGATTTCTTCCTGGGAGGAGAAGAGAGAAAAAAAGAAATATCAACATGTGACAGATGCACATCAGGGAAGTGGGTTGTCACACTGCAGGGAGGTGTTGAGATATCACAACGATGGGCATGCTATACAAACCTGAGCAGAACAAAATACGCTGTTTGGAAAACTGAGCAGACAGAGAAATCGTTAACTGACTTAGTGAGAAATGGTGCTGAGGTGTACTGCAATTTTTAAATAATATGCAATCTGGAGGAGTCTCTATAAAACAGGTGTTAGAGCTTGAAGTTGAACTTTTTACGTTTGTCCCTAAAGGCAGATCTGTTAAGTTTTTACTTTGTGAGGGTATAGGCTTGAGGGGAATCACCTGTACCACAGCGGTATCCTTTGCTTTTAGAAATGGAACTGCAATCTGCTGCCCGTGCTGCTCCGAACTGACCTTTGAGTCTGCTCTTGCAATCCAGTATCTGTTTTCTGAGCCTACGCTTTAAGTCACAGGCTTCGCAGCAGTCTCCCCAGAGAGCTTTGAGGCAGTTCATCAAAGCAGGTGGAAGGAAGAGTATGTTGTAATAGATCTTTCATTCTTGCATATGAATAACGAGGAGGAACAAAACATGCTGTCTGTGGACATAATTTTTCTTTAGAAACCAATCATACCGGGACTATAAATATAAGCAATGTATAACAGGTGCTACGTACAGCCTTAAATATTCTTCTCTGGTGCCAAAGTGTGTGTATTGGTGTGATTTTGTTATGGACAGAGAGAAATATTGTCTTTTCTTTTTGTGACAGCTCAAATGCCGTGTTAAACAAATTACTCCCAGGAAATCTCAAACGTTTTTATTGTCTGAGCAGCTCAATCCAAACAATTAGTTTGTGTTCAACTTCCTAGGTAAGTTAATAAGCTTTTTAGAGTACTTCATGATTACCGTTTAACCATTGTCTCAGAATTTATGCTTCTGTTTTGCCTGTTTGGCATTTCTATAGCTCATTCACTAGACAAGCAGTTATTTCCCTTCCCCTTCTCAGTACCTGCATTCAGTTCCCTCTCAAAGCTTCGTTTTCCTGGTAGCTCTCGTGTGGCTTGAAGGATGTGCACCTCTACCTGGGATAAATTAGTCCTTGCTGGGCCTATTCCAGCAGCATTCAAGAACTTCCAGACACTGTTCGGAAATGAGTATGAAGTTGAAGCTACAGCTCTGCTGCCCAGGAGATTGAGTTGCTGTCATATTGCATCTGACTTGCATCAGATCAGAGTTTAGGATTTGGGTGATTTGTTCTTCAGATTAATGTCAATCTGTTTTAAATTAAAACACCCTGGGGCAAATCCTTTGCTATGATCAATGAACTGTCTGGCTGCAGTCAACCAACATTACAGCAGACATGAATTTGGCCTCCTGGTTCATTGCCTCATCCCCTACAACATCACTTTCCTTATGTGATTCAGACATCAAGCCTTTGATCCTATAAGTTGTTGACTGTCTTCCACTGAAATCAGTGAGAATAGAGGGTGCTTTGGTGTTCAACACTTTGTTGGTTTGGGCACAAGAAATGGACCACATATCTGCTGTACCTAAAATATAATTATGGTGTATCTGTGAGCAGAAAATCTGTTTTGCACCTGTTTTATCACAGGAACAAAAGGTGCAGGAAGTATTTGGAAAATGAGGAACACACCTGTGTGTGAGTGTATAACAAAGCATCTTTATATATAATCATTCGCTATAAGTCATCTCAGAGTTGACAAGCTGTTTTTCAACTTCATGTCACCACTGCCTGATGCATCTAATTAGTCCAGTTCTCCAGCTGACAAATATCAGCTGCTCTTTCTAAAACATGGCTTCTCCCTTAAGTACATCCCTCTGGCAAAGTTAAATATTAATTATCCTTTTTTTATTTTATGATTATTCATGGGTGCTAATGTCACTGCACAATGAATGGGTAAGTCAATACCACAAAACATTAAAAGTGTTGTTTCTGAACCTCTGCCGAGCTGTACGGAGCTGTGCTAGGAACAAACGTGGCAGTTGTGGCTGGTGTGTGCTGACAGCCACACAGGTCAGTGGTGAGACTCAGAGCCTCGGGTCTGGTGGATGGGGGCACTGGGCCTGGATGTGGGAAATGTACCTTCTCTGCCCAGCTTGGAAACTGGCCTGCTTTCCAGCTGCACAAACCATTTCACCTTTTACTCTGTGTACTTGAATTGCGAGGCACAGAACAGCACAGATACTGGGGTGTCCCGATGCCTCTGCAGGTCTGAGTTATCTGGACTTGGACTTCTGCTGAGTATTTGGGTGTTGCGACTCTACTGGAGCTTTTCGGGGTCCTGCTGTCCTCCCTCCCACCCTTTGTGCCAAGGATTATGGGAACTAGTGGTGGGCTCTACTCTTAACTCCCAGTCGTGCTTTGCCCTACAGCTTCAGTAATTCCCTCTCTCCATGTCTACTGCCACCCCTCAGACAGAAGAGCACAGCCCTTCACTGTGGAGGTGTGCGTCCTCCTCATTGCCACATCGGTAGGTGGCTGTTTCACATGGATCTTGTTTCTGTTTGTCTGCTTCCTCTCCAGCTGACCACAGCCAGGGTCTGTAAGCCTTCCTTTCAAAGCCAGCCGTCTTTGTGTGCTGGCCCTCAGGAAGATCCATATCCATGCCTTGTGAAACGGGCTTCAAACCAGACAGGGAGATATGTTGTAATCATGTTTCCTGAGACCAGTTATACCAGCTGTACCCACCCTATGACATCCCTAGCTGTTCCCACAAAAATGAAGTTGCCCATCTTGTCCACTTTGCTGCCACACTGATGTGAAAGCTGATGCAGTCATTTTATTTCTTTCCCCTTCAAGGAAACTTTGTATTTGTTCTGTCTGGCCAGATTTGCAGCTGGACTCATTTGCTGGCCCCATGCAGGGACTGACATAGCCATGCAAGCCCTTATCCTTTGTGCCTTTCAAAGCATTGTGGGCAACTTTGAAGCTCTTCCCTTCCTCAGGTGGCACTTCGGGGTATGCAGGCTCACTTTTATCTCAATGTCTTTTTGCTCACTGCAGCTTGATCCATCCGGCTCTCTGCGTGGATCAGAAAGATGCTGAAATACGGGAGGATCTCCTGTAGTTATTCCTTGCCTTATTCCAGTTTCCCACATTGCCATTGACCTGACTTTCTGACCCAGCTTCTTTGTGAATGTTTTCTAGCATGACTAGCATTTGCTTACCACATCACACAACCCAGCGTGTCTGCAGCCCAATGTGCTAGACTTGTCTTGCCTCCCTTTCCGTAGCCAGTAGCTGGAGTTCAGTTGATTCACCGAGACAGACCGTAGGACTGAAATAGCAACTGACACTTGTTAGAGCTTGGGCTAACATTTTTGCAATATGTAGGTGAAAATTAAACTCCATCCAAGAGCAGTATGTTTTAGAAGCCCGGAGTGTTTGTGGATGTATTCATTGTAAAGATAAAAATTAATAACATCTGTTTGCATTGCAAGTGCCCTGCTTAGGGAATGGAGTGCAAATAACTATGCCTGGGTACCTGCCACATGTTTAAGTCGTGGTTTTATTACATGAAAATTTGCATGTCTCTCTTGTGTTTTTAAGTGTCTAAAAAAAGTGACACCTGATGGAGGTTTTGAAGAATGCCATTTTTTTTGCAGATACCTGCTAAAGATCCAGTTCCTGACCGAAAGAAACTGAGGTGGGTAGAATCAACGTGAACATGAAAGCTCCCAAACTGGCAGTCATGGAGGATATCCAATCATTATAATTATTTCCAAGTAATTTAGCGTATCTCTAATTATAATATGAGGTCATCTTGATGCAAAATAATGTCTAATTAGACACAATCCCTCTTCAGATACTCGTAATAGATTCCAGAGGAAAACCTTTTGGCTCCTCTTATTGGGAGCTTTTAATTTTTAATTTACAAATTTTTTTTGTAATTAATTTTTTGAGCAAACAGGGCAAATCAATCTATTTGAATTAATTAGCATTTCTTCCTTGGTTTCCTAGTCCCCCTCCCTCTAACTCCTCTTTTTCTTCCCCTTATTTGAATATTACTCTAATTTATTCATGTTTGTTTGCAACCAGTGCATAATGATTTCATGCCATAGGCGGGCAAGAGACTGCAGCACGGAAAGGTTGAAGGTCTGGGAGAGAAGGAAGATCTGCAGAAAGGTTGTGTTGGTTACCTTCGTTTAGTTATAATCACCTTCTTGTGTCAGATAAGGGCAGCAACAGAGTTAAGCAGGACGGTGGAGCTGAGGTGGGACGTAGAGCGATGGAAGAAACCACCACAGCTCCAGAGAGGGAAAACCGTAAGCACCCAAGCGGGAAAACACTCTGGGCTGAATATTGTTTCACCTTGATACTGTATAAGAAAGTCCCTATGAGATCAGATTTGCAAAGAACACCTGGGCAGCGTTCACAGAAACGTATCTCATCTTTATTAGTCAGTGTTTGTACAGCCACTTGCTTTTTTTCCCAGTGTTTATACATATCTATTCTGTTACCTTACGCAGAGGTACCGCGCGCTCCGTAGCAGGCAGATCGCGCTCGCCCTCCCTCCCCTCGCAGCCCTGAATCTCCAGAGCCGTGAGAGGCAACGCTGTCCCGTGGCCACAGCTGTAGGCTGGGTGCCAGCAACTCCCCGTGGTTTATTTTCCTGGTTCCTTTCCTAACTTGTTCTGTATTTTCTGCCTCTGTCAAGCAGTGGAAGCTTTTGTTAGGAGAGTGGTGTCGCGGTGTTGTGGAAAAGTGACAAGGGCATGTTTTTCGCGGGGTCTATTGTTGTGTTACGCTTTGGTTTTGTTTGGAATGGGAGTGTTCGAAAACAAGGAACCTAAGTTAGCAAGTGATTTTGTCTTCATTTTCCTCATCTGTAAAAGATGCATAACAATGCTTATATACCTAACTCCCATGGATATTGCAAAGATTAATTCATGTTTGTAATGCACTTTGAAAATAGAAGTTGCTAAGTAGCATTAGCTCAATCAGAAATTGTTTTTCTGTTGAACAGGATCTTTATCTTTCCTATAACTTGCCTCTGCTGATCTCAGCTTGTACTTAATGTATTTGGAATTAAATCCAACAGGAGAAACTTAGATTCAGGGACAGAATGACCATGAGAGAGGAGGGAGGTTTTGTAAGATAGCAGATTGCTGCTTGGAGATACAATCTACGATCTCAGTTTGAGGCCAGATCAAGGTGAAATAGTGCTCTGGCCTAATAGATGCATTCATCTAATTTTCTGGTCAATTAGAAATCAGCCCAGACAATGCATGAAGACTGCGGAGATTAAATAGAATCTAGAGAAATATCTCAGGGAACAAAAGATACAAAGAAGCTGAGTCTGCTATGTTGGAGCAGTCGGGGCAGTCCTAGTAAGAGGCAGCGCCTGTTCTGGGAACTTCTCTGTGCTGAATGAATTGTGGTATTCAAAATTACTTCTACGCTAGTAAATGAGATAGGCCAGGGAACTGTTTGCTGGCCCCAAGGCTGGGACAGCTGGAGTGTCATGGCTTTTGACCACAGATTCTCTTCCCCTCCTACCCCAACAAGGTGGCCCATCTGAACCCTGTATCGGGAGTGGTCCCTGGCTATTGCTGAGATGTGTCCAGGCGTTGTTTGAGAGAGCGGGTTGCCGTGGGACAATTCTGTGCCAAGGACTGCACTGACAGTCGAGCAGTGGGGTGATGCTGTGCCAGTACTTGGGCCCGTGCCCTGGCCCTCTTTGGTTGCCTAGTGCAGATAGCCCATATGGCTCTGACTCTGGGCCACATCCTACTGTTCCTTCAGCCCTTCTTTGAATGTTTGGCTTGAATTCTTGTTTTATTTGTTTGTCTCGGACCAGCATTGCCAGGATCTGAGCTGCCTTCTGGAGCGGGTCAGATCGCCCAGCCCATCACTGGCCGCTTAACGAGCGCAGGGAGAGGCGCAGTCCTTTGGCAGGGTGGGAAGCGCGGGGCTGGACGCCTGGCTGGGTGGTGCGTGAAGAGTAAAGGGGTCAGTGCCCTGCCTCAACAGACGAGAGCACGTATGGACCGCGATGCGGATGCGTTCACAGGGCAGTTCTCCGAGCTGTCATTTCCCAGTCACAGCCAAGCTCTTCGGCTGTAATAACTTTGACGCAAGGAAGTGGGTCTCAGCTAATGAAATGCCTTCTGTACGCAGAAGGCAATAGAAGTTTGGTAATGCTATGGCTTTGGAAAGCGGGATGGAAAGTGATTATGAAACCTAAATAACTTATACTAGAAGAACTAATTTGTTCTAGTTTGCAAAGCTAGAGAGTGTTATGTAGATCGTTTGTAGGTTTCTGTGTGTAGTTACACATACAAGTGTATTTATTTGACAAAACACTGGGAAAATGGGATGATCTGAAATTAGAGGCTGACTCAGATGACGAATTTAATTTGTCAGTGAGTGAAATTAGTAGCAATGAATAGAAGACATAAAATGACTTATCAAATTTCCTGCACAGATCTCGTTTTAAAGAAGGAAGAATGCACAGCACATAAAAACAACTCAAAACATTATAATAAATGTAGAATGATAGTCACTTTTAGCATATGGCAGAAAGAAATGAAAAAAAGCCCCACCACCAAAGCCAAACCCCATTGCTTTCTAGAAAAGTGCAGATTTGTGTCATTCATGTTTAAGCTCTCCCAGTTCCCATGAAGTATGGGGGAGCAGGGAGGTGGGCGGGGAGCAGAGTGTACAACTCCTTGTCCTCTTATCAAGAAAAGCTTTTCAGTACTACAGATTATTAAGTCACATGCATAGATGAGGCACACACTTAACTGATGTCCTGAACTGGGCTGCCTTTTGCCACAGAAGCCAAAGGCAAGTTTTACATTATCCCAAACCTTCAAATAACACCACCTGTTGTATGGTAGCTTTTGTTTTTGAGGAGGAGAAAGGTGTTCTCCTTGATGAAAGAAAAAGGAACTTTTCAGTCTTGCAAGGACCTCAGGAAGGTTTTCCTCAGAAAAGAGAAATCACAAGACGAGGCCAAAACATTTACAAGGCTTTGACAAGTTCTCTCTCAAGCTTTGGGGAACTTGTAAATAATTGTGAAATTCATAGACTCTTTCTCTTCTGCCTGTGACCACATAAATTGCTCTGTGATCCATGCTGATAATAGCAACTGAGAGACAGATGATCAGAAGCCTAGCAGAAATCTAGCAATTTTTAATTGTTTGTAATCTTTAATTGAGAGAGAATAAATTTAAGGGGACACGTAAGAGGCTGAGAAATCTGTTAAATGCAAATTGAGCTGGGCTGAGTATGATGTCTCCTACTGGGACAACTAAAATGCAAAAGCCCATCTAGAAGCTAGGAACAAGGGTTGGGCTATGGAAAAATAGAAACCAGCATTCCTTGGCTAGGGAAGCAGATGTAATCATGAAATGATTGTAGACTTGAGAAGCATTATTTCTCTGCAAGTATATGCCCTCTAATTCACCTGAAAGATTCTTATCTGTTTTCCCTCCTGAAGTGTGCATATATATCTAGATTACTCATACAGATTATTTTGCTTCCTTTCATGCTTCAAAACCTATGTTTTGCTATTGTAAGGGGGCTTTTCACTTGTGGTTGCAAGTTGCTGTAGAGACCATCCCAAGCTAGACCCGCTGGCTGTGTCTGGACTGGAGTTCAGGCATGGAGGTGGGTGTGATCATGGTACTGGAGACACAGACCCAAGCTGAGGATAAACACCAGCAGAGCTCTGTGATCTTAGTTTATCTCATGGGGGCTCTTATGTGACACCCATGCGGCACTGGCTGAAGCCTTCCTGCTGCATCGTGTGTGGGAGGAAGGAGGGGAAAGTGGCATGAACTTGTGAACTATGCAGTGCTCTAGGGCCAAGGCTTAACTGTCTGGCCCCACCTCCAGCGTAAGAAGGGTCTTCAGTTCCCTCATACCAGAAATTTTCATGGCCTGGTTTGTACTCTGCTTTGAACATCAGAAAACCAGCCTGAAACCCAGACTGTGCTCCTTGAAAGGTGATCTTTTGAATCTTTCCCATAGTCCTGGCTCTACCACCCCTCTGAAACCACAGATTGAGAAGGAAGGAAGGCTCCAGGAATCTGCCTGGCTTTAACTCTCCTTAAAAACATTGGCTGAGTGCTCCTTTACCAGATCCTGTAAGATGTTAAAGCTGCTGGTCCAGTGAGTACACAGGAAATCTCTGATGATTACAGAACCAAGGTTCAGGCACACAGAGTGAAATTCTGAGGAGCTCTTTGGGCCTGCTGATGTGAATAGGTAGCAAGCCAGGGACCTTCCAGAGACCCACCCGGCTTCCTTGGCAGAACAAACCAAGGAGTAACGAAAGCAGCTGGAGAGGAAAAGGGCACATAGGTCCCTTTTATCCTGGTCTGCCTTTTTTTCCTTTTGGGACATACCTCGAGGGGACAGGACATGTTCTCCTCAGGAACATGTACACTGTTGATGGAGAGTTTGCTTATGATGAGCAAAGATCTGAATGGTTTCTTTTATCCAAAGGCTAAGAGCAGTCTTGTTGGTTTAAGAACAACTTTATTAAATAAAGTGATGTAAAAAAAGGATTTTGATACAAACAGTGTAGATGCTTATCCTGCTGTAGCTGCTTCCCTATGATGGTACTGTGTGTGATACAGCCTGAACTTCACATGATTACCAACCCTTTCCCTCTATTTTTTTATGTTTTAAAGCCATTTCAAGTGTACATGTGAAGATTCCAAAAATATTAATACAAATGACATTAAAAGATGTTTCTGGTGCTCCTATTTAGACTGTTCTTGGCAGAGGGCTGGGGAGTTCAGCTAGAGCTGCCCAGGCTTGCCAAAGCCAGCTGAGCAGCAGGTTCCCCCTCCTCCCTCCACCACCAAGAATGGAAAAAAATTCTGTCGAGCCCTAGATAAACTTTGAAAATGTTAACAGAAAGAACAGTCTAGAAGCCAGATGTGGCAGAGAGAGAGAGGAAAAGATCTGGGCAGTCTTGAAATGGTAGAGGGGAAGGGATTTATCATGGGATGGTAGGAAGGGCTGCAAAGGGGATTAAAAACAGGCAAGTGAACATTACTGGAGGCTGATGATATTACAAGGGAAATAGCTGCTTGCTGCTGGCTGTGTAGGAGGCTTGTCAGACTTGGGGAAGTAAAAGCATAGTGCTTACATCAACAGGATTTATTATTTTTTTCTTTTTTTTTATAATGGCATCTGGTCCTGTGTTGCATTTGGGCATGATATTTAGTGACCTACCTACATGTGACACATTTGCTGTAGGCAGTGTTGGTTGCTGCAGCTGGCAGGGACAGGAAAGCTTGCAGAGGGGAGCTCTGGAGCTCAAGGGCCCAGTACTGTCCAAGCCCTGAACAGGTCCAAGCTGGGTACATCAGCGTCAGCACCAGAGGTGTCCCACTGGTGATTTAAGCCATGTGAGTTTCAATGTTCCAGCTTGAACTTTGGCTCTTGGGAGCCACTGTACTGAAAAGAAAATGTGTATTTGATTATGAGTGAAAAGGAGTGCCCGAGCCATCTTCAGCAATTTGAAAAAAAAGGATTTGGTTTGGCCTTTTTGTTGCACAGAAAAGTGAGGCACAGGGAGGGAGGGAGGGACAATCCCTGCCCTCTCCAGCTCCGCAGTAACAACCCGGGTACAACCCGGCATTGCTGTGCCCACGCAAATGCCACAACCTGAGCCCAGGCTTGGGCCACGTTCAGTGTTGGCCAATTGCTGAGCTTTTACCTGTGTGAAGAGCCCTGTGTGGCCACCAGGCATTTCACAAATGAGGGAAGAGACCTATCTTGTGCCTTTCTGGCTCGAGGCAGTGTGGGATCGCTGAGTAGAACTGGGCTGGGATTTAACTGGCATCTAGCAAAGCCCCGGCTGGGGTGAAGTGCAGCTATGGCTCCTCGGTTCTCTGCTGCATCCCCAGGGTAGGCTGGTAGATGGCTAGCTGCCAAAGGAGAGTAGCCAAAATGAGGTGCGAGGCAAGCAGCCCCCTTCTGCAGCCCACCTTAGGCCACAGGAGTCTACACTGACTGCAAAAGCTGTGGGGGTCAGCCCTATTTCTGAGCAATCCCCAGAAGGGAATGGGTGAGCCCTAATCCCTCAGAACCGCAAGAGCTAAGCAGGAGCTACATTCCATCTCTACTGCTCATTAATGCCTTTTGCTCCTTATCCAAAGCCGTGGGGTTTTCAGGCTGTAAGGAGCAGACAGTTTTGTAGAGCTTTTACTGTAACTTTTCATCGGGCTGTGACCCATATTTGGGAGCGCTCAGGTCCTTTCTCCCCCATTACTGTTCTCTGGGGCTCGAGTGTTGTTTTGTTGGTAGCGATGCTCTGCTCTTTGGATCCCCGCTGGTATTTGCTTGATGTGGACAGTGCAGGAAGTTCTCCAAGTCTGTTTCAGAACATCAGATGCCCTTAAAGGTTTGAAAGGGCTTATCAGTCAGTGACTTTGCAAAAGCATTTCGGACGCGCTGCAGAATTAATGGGTCAGGTAAACAATGAGCGGATCTTTTTTACTGTTGTGGGTCACAGACCCCCTTCTGTTTCGCTGGGCCTAGAGTTTTATTGGATGAAAAGGGATTGGTCTGGATTAGTCAGCAGTCTTTCCTGAGGACCTAGCACAGCACAATAATCACACAGCGTTGTAGGCAACAGAAAGAATAGGAGCAATTGTATCCAATACCTGAGTTATTGGAACATGCCTGCCTGTTCATGTGAGCCAGGAGAGAAAGATTGTTTTTCCTTTCTGAAGAGGGAAAATTGGAGGGAAGCTGTGCCAGAACCTTTCCAGGTTTAGAGAAGTGGAGGAAACACCTGCTACGCCATCAGCATTCTTGTTAGCAGTGACTGCATGAGTGACAGAATCTGTCCCTTCCGGAGATGATTCAGACTCAGAAGACTCTTGGTAGTGATGACATGAACGCCTGGTAGCTCCTGAAAGCAGAACTAATGAGCAGTGCCACTCACTTAGCGTATGGTTTGACAACAGATGCACATGTTGGTAATTAAGTATTTGGCTGCATTACATTATTTTATTTTTGGATTTCTCAAACACACACCCATCGCAATTTCTAGACACATTTGCATGATTTCAAGCGTTAAACTTACATCATAACAAAGGTAGAAAAATCAGCATAGGGAGGCTAAACCCCACTTTCCTGAAGGGCTCAGTAGCACATAGGCCTTCCTGTGCACCCCAAACCTAGGAAACATAGGCTCTGTATGGAAAAAATATACATAGGGAGTAATCCCAGGGACTCTTCCTACATTGAACGGAGCTATGTCTGTGGTTTCGGACCAAACCAGTACACAAGTCTTGGACCAGAGTTTTCTACTGCTGTATGATAACATCCATCACTGCTTGTGACCCAGCAAAGGCTTGGAATGGCTTTGAATGGCTTTGAACTTCATGAACTTCATAAATACCTGAATACAATTATACCTTGCAGTGCTAGAGAGCAGATTCAAATACTTCATCTTAGCAGAGATCTTCTGGAATGTTTTATTCTGTCCTTGCATGCCAGCAGTTAATGTATGTCAACATGTTAACGCTGACCTCGGCTACAAGCTGCAAAATATGTACATAATGGTGCTTGCTGCAGCATCTTGCTCCCAAACTTTATACCTTTTCTAACTCAGTCCAGATATTTACTAAAACTCTCCCTGGGAGCCCGTGCAGCCTTGCTCTATATATCAAATGTACTGGAGGAACAGTTGCCCTAAAAATGATGGAATTGCTTCTCAGCCTACTCCACCCAGATTCCTGTGGTGGGTTGTTAAGGAGGAATTAGGGTGCATCATAAGGGCATGATGGAGAAGCATACGATGGACTGGGGAGGTGACCTGGTCCCGGAGTAGTGCATGACATTATGGTTTTCCCTGGACATGGAGTAGTGCATTTCATTATGGTTTTCCCTGGACATTATCTTACAGGATCATAGTTTCCTTTTGCATGAAAGTTAGAAGCTGGGCCAACTACGTTGAACTGGAGTTCATTCTGAGATTCTGAAAGCAGCAGAACTAGTGAGAGGAGCTGTCCTCTATCCCAGTGTTAGTAATGGTACCCAGCAGAGGTCCAAGATCTACTGGAGTATCCTTGTAAAACCACCCGTGACGTTGGTAAATATTTTGAATGTCTGGTCTTGTCTAGAAATTCTCAATGTTGTTTTATAATTCATAGAAATTCCAAGAATTTGTCACCACTGTCTTCCAAAAGTATAGTTGTTCACAGACTGTGCCATCTTTCCATGAAAATATATAGTAAAATTTCCTTGTTTTGTGCTCTGTATTTGTAAGCATGGTTCTAGAGCTAAAATTGTAAGATGCTGGTGCAAAGATACTATTTTACTGACTGAGGTGTCTGTGTATCTTTCTGTCTTCCTTTTCACTGGCTGGAAAGTCTGCCTGTGTAGACCATAAAATGACTACAGTTTAGGCTGAAGTAGAGGTTAGCTAGGCTTAATGAAAAAGAATTTAAGTCAGTGCTGACACTGAGAAGAACGTTTAGGATCTTGAAGGAGAAAGAAATGAGAATACTAAGATGAAAGATGTGACCAGGCAGCTCCGCCTACAAACTGTAACCCTCCAGGGCAATCTCAGGTTTCTGCTATGTACCAGCATACAAAACAGATTACATCCTAACCTAGACTGCAAGCATGAGAGTATTGGAAATCTGTTGCAGGTGTTTGATGGTAAACAGTGTTTATAGCTGCCAGGATGGAAACATTTATATGTGTGAGTGAGTGCAAGTGGAGGGCAGGCCTCAAACTTTCACCCCATTACCTTCACATTTCGGTTTTGCTTTGCTTTGCCGAGTACTAGATGCCCTGTGATTTCAGCCTGCTAGTGAATTCAAGAAAGCACTGACGATTTTACTTGAGCGAGTTCAGTGTTAAAATTTGAAATGATAGAATCACCTGAGAAGTAGTGGGCTAATTTATCACAGGAACAAAAATACACAATGGAGACTGAATGGAAGAGGATGAGTTCTGACAGGCATGCCTTTACTTTTTCAAGCAAGTATTTTTTGCTTGGGTGGGTGGTGCATTAGTTATATATACAACTCATGCTTTTAGCTACAGCAAAATGTGAGAAGACATAATAATAGCTCTTCACGTTAAGGCTTCCTCTTTTTTTTTTCTTTTTTTTTTTCTTTTTCAGTTCAGTTAGTTTAAGACTTTAGATTATTCTCTTTCTGAGAACTGGGGGAAGTATTTTTAATACCTCTCAGTGTGAGTGGTGACTGGGCTGCCCTTAGATGAAAATAGCAGTAAATTTACTAGGGAGTTCAGCCAGAACTTCCAGTGCAAGGCTCCCAATTACTGCCTCACAGTGGTTCCCAATCAGGAAGATAAAGAAAACAAAGGTATCCATCCAAAATACAAGGCAAATTCACCTTTGATGACTTTGTGTGTGTGACGGGCTAAATATGCTCTAGCTGTATCTTTATTAATAGGAAAAAAAAAAAAGGGAGTATTAGTATAGCCAAAAGGGCAACATCTGTACTAAATTTTTGCCCTACACACAGTGGTTGCCAATTGTCCACAATGACACTGAAGCAGGAGCAGGACTACTGAACCTGTTGGTCTCCTCCATCAGGGCTATGGGCAGGAAGGGGACAAGAGGTGTTTACCACAGCCCCAACACACCCACTGCCAGGGCGTTTTGTGGGTGGGGTGGATGTTAAGGAAGGGAAGGTTAACGAGCTGCTTCAAGTGACCTTGTGCAGTAAACTGCTAAGGGAACATCCTGCCTCCTTGGGGTAAAATGTTCCCCCTTGCTTTCCCTTTTGGAAAATGCAGTTCTTAACTCCCACTTGTGCTGGTTTGGAGTAAAAATTACAATAACATAAAATGGCTGGTCCAGTTCTGTCTTTCGATAATGGCCAACTAGATGCCTAGCAAAGAGTATACAGGGCAAATGTAGGAATATTTCCTTATAAATTTTGTTTCTTCCTAAGCCACAGAAGTCTATGCCTAGTACCCCAATGGATGTATGTTTTGTGAATTTGTGTAACTGCATCTTGAGACCATGTGCTATTCACAATATCCTTTGACAAGGAGCTCCTCCATTTAACTACTGGTTCTGTCAAGAAGTACCTCTTCTTGTTTTGGCTCTGTCTCCTAACTTCTGTTTTGTGTCCCTCATTCTGAGTGAACATGTCTTATGCACCTTTTCTATGTCGGTTTTTTTGCAAGAATCACACCCCTTAATTTTCTGTTCCAGGAAATGAAACATCTGAACCCCCATCATGCGTACATCTTTGCATGTTCAGTGGAGGCTGTGATATGGGACTGCAGAGGGTCTTTCCAGCAGGGATTTCTTCAGTATAGGCTTAAGGTGACTCTTTTCTTGACTACAGAGCAGCCATATAGACACTTGTCTTCCTGAACTCCAAGGGCAAGGAGCAGTCAGGTTGGCTGAGGTGTGTCTGCCTTGAGGGAGCAGTGAAGAAGTCATCCTCATTTTCTTAATGCATGTGAAAGAGGTGCAGGGATGAGGGAGTGCAGCATGGGAACTATGTATCCTGCTCACTTTAGAAGACTCAACAGGTCTGCAAGATCATCCTGTTAATAAAAATTACATTTTTTCTAAATGCTGGGAAGGTACAAGCACTTTAAAAACCTAGAACAGTTTAACCCCAACACAACATAACAAAAAATCTTGAAATTGAGATTAGAGTTCAGGAGTGAGGCATGAACAGCTTTATTCATGCACAGAGTCCTACCTGGTATGAGCTGCCCCTGGAGCCCTGTGGGAGGCTGGGCAGCATGAGGAGCAGAGGGTGCGAACAGGCATTTCTACAGTGCACAGCTCAGAGTGTTTGAAACTCAGACTGTCCAACTTTATTTTTTCCCTTTAAATTGGACGAATGCTTTAAAAAGCAGACATTTCTTCTTTAATTTGTAGCTGTTAATTCATTTATAAACTACATGTGCTTCATGAGTGATTATGCTAATGTACTTAAGACTATTTAAACCCTTGCACTGATTAGCCTAGCATTCATTTTAACTACATTGTACAAATAAGATGTTATCTTAAAAACATGTCTAACAAAAGTCCATAATCACAAATATGCTATTTTACTGAATGCATCTATTGGCTTTACTGAATTCAGGCACTTACACTTTAATTTTTAATACTCTGTTTTGCTTTGTATTCATGTATACTGTATGGTGGGACTAGGCTGGTGGAACGCATTCAGTAGCAAAAATAACCAGTTGAATTTATATTTCATCTTGTCTCCAGGCAAAAGAATTTGTGGGGGTCACACTCAGCTCGTGGATGCAGCGGAGCAAGCAGGCTGTAACCTCTCCGAGGCAGGTGGGACGCACTGGCTCTCTGCCGTGAATTGGTATGACATGGCCCTGGCCCTGGTTTCTGCTCTGAGGTCTGCCAGGTGCTAAGGGCTGCAGGCAAATCACTTAGCCCAGCGGGTCTGGTTTTCCCCATCTGTATGGGGTAATGATGCTTAGCTACCTTCGACGTTTACTGATGAGAAGTGCTATCTGAGTCATAGGCGTTGTTATTAAAGGTATCTGGAGTGATGATTTCTTTGGGCAGCTTCATGCTGAAGGTGGCTGAGGCCATTCTGGGCAGGTTCCCCTGGGGCCGTGGTGTCAATGTCATTGTCTAGTGTCATTTCTCGATGAAATGATCCAGGGAGTATAAAGAGAAATGAGGATCTGTGCTCCCTCTGTACTGTTCTGAAAGCAGCAAGGGTGTTCTGAGTGATCCGCCTGATATAAAAAAACTTGTTGCCAGCTGGCAGAAGGTGAGGATGGGACTCTGCTAGAGGGACAGAGCTCCTGCCCTGGAGGAGATTAGATTTGGAGAAGCATGCCCATTCTGCTGTCTCTGAGGCAAAATGACAGAGCTCGTTGACATTTTTGAATCACAGAATGGTTTTGGTTGGAAGAGACCTTAAAGATCATCTAGTTCCACCCCTCCTGCCATGTGCAGGGACACCTCCCACCAGACCAGGTTGCTCAAAGCCCCATCCAACCTGGTCTTATACACCTCCAGAGATAGGGCATCCACAATTTCCCTGGTATGTCTTTTAAAATTTTGTTTTAAGATGAATTAAAGTTAAGAAGGGTTTTGGTTGTGTGTTGCTACATGACGTGGCACACCGTGAAGTCAGGAGGGCTGTTCCTTTGGGAGGGGGCTGCAGGGCAGAGTGGCTGGTCCCCACCTGGCCCACCAGCATCCCAGCCACACTGGGTATGGGGCAAGACCATGCATCCCCCCAGCCGGGGGAAACTGGGTGGTAGTGGGGACAGGGACTTCTAAGCCCTTCCGCCTGGCCGTTTGTTTGGGCTGGTTCTTCCTCTGAGCGCTCTCAGCAGCAGACATTAGAAACAGTTAACTGAGCTCGGGCCTTTGTGTGAAATAGCTGGGAAGGTCAGAGTGAAACACAACATACTTATCTCAACTCATCTGAAAATTACCCTCATCAGCAGCATTGTTTACGTCTGATAGATAGCCCCAGCACCAATTACGGTTGTCATTTCCTGAGGTGCACTCCAGGGTAGGTGTGCAGAGGGGAGATGCAGAGGGAGGGAAGGGACTCCTCGTGGCTCCCCAAAGAGCCAAGCGAGGGCTGCCTGCCCCGTGCTGTTAGGATCCTGTGCCAGCTCACCGTGGCATCCACTAGCCTCCTCCTCCTCTCTGCAGCAATCTCAGAATTGTATCACAATTTTGGGTTGGGTTTTTTTGAGATCTGGTGCTGAACGAAAACACCGAGGCGTTTCCTGCCCCAAGATGGCCACTCGCTGAGGCCCAGCCGCTCAGGCAGGATGCAGAGAGGAGGCTGGCTTGTGTTGTGGTCCTTGTTTCCCTTTGTTATCGGAGTCACATTCACAGATCAGAGGTCATCCTCCCTCCCATCCTCTTCTTCAGGGGAAAGCTGTGCAGTGGGGAGACCGGCGGAAGATACAAAAGAGAAGGAAATGTGGGAAGATAGCGGCTGGCCTGATCATGGAGGGTGGGATGTGAGAAATAATAATAATAACACACACCAAAAAAAGAGGCAGAAATGAACCAAAGAGAGAAGTTAGGATCTTGAAGGCATGGTAGACAATGATGTTTTGATATTTACATCTTTTTCAGTGTCTGATAGACAGTAATTTGTTTCAGGGAGGCTCTCTGTACCCTATGCCCTGCTTGGGTACACATGCAGGAAATGGATCTAATCTTGTCCTAAAAATTCTCAACTTGCATTGACTATTTTAACAACTCTGATGAGTAAAAGAGAGCAAATTCATCCCAGGATCCATCAGTGGCATAAAACTATAAGCTCTGCATAGTAGCACCAGTACAAGTGGAAAAAATAAAAAGGTCCAAGATAGACATCTGTATATCTAATGCTATAAAGCTACTTTCAAAAATGTGCCGTGGAAGGATCACATGGAAGAGGCTGGGCTACTTTGCTAAAATGTGATATTTAGAGACTGGTTTGCCCAAAGGGGGCAACTGCTTATACAGATGCGGCCCCGTCAAGCAGAACCCCGGCACCCGCCCGTTGGGAATAGAGACACCTGTGCACGCGGGTGCTGGCTTTTGCATACACAGAAGCTGCTTTTAGGGTGCATGGGTGCAAGCAACTCCTCCCTGAACATCTGCAGGTGCGGCTGCATGCAAAGAGACAAAGGGAAGTCGAAAGGAGGCAATAGTGTGTGCCTTTCATGGTAAAAAAGTCATGAGTCACACGTCAAAATACCATAAGATTCCATGTTTTCAGGCTTTTCTCTGCAACCAGCAAGGGCAGAGTTTGAAGGACAGCAGGTATCAGCCTCCAGCAAAGAGGACTGTGAGCCCAGGAGAGTGCCAGAGTGGACAACCCTGAAACTTTCCCCCCGACAGTCTCAAAACAGCTGCAACTGAACTGCTCGCAGCACGGAGTCAGTGTCACGCTCTGTGTCACCGTTGAAGAGTAAACCAGGAGACCCTCTTGCTGTCCTTGTGAGAACGGAGAGTGAAGCGGAGTGAAGCAAAGAGTGAAGAATTCTTGTGCTCCCACAAGAATGGCAGCACCGATGCAGGGGTGTCACCCATCAGCACGGCTTCCTTCCTACCCATCTGTGCAAAGCGCAGCCTAAAAATGTGAGTGTGCAGGTTCTGTTTTGTGATAAGGCATGTCAAGACCAAGCTAGATATGTACGAGTTAAACACACAGCTCACTGCAAAGTGGGTAACAGTTGCGTTTTAGCATTTATGCTATGTCACTACTCACTGTCATGAGAGAGTGGGTATTTTTTCTTAAGTAGAGAGATACACAGAAAGTATGTTGGATTTTAGGATGGATTATAGAGCAAACTGAAACCCACTAAAGCCTGAGCACCAAACCGTGCTGCTTTTTCTTCCATGCCACTGATTAGGCGGAGTTAAAACTCTTACCTACTTTCTTTATAAAAAGAAATAATATCAACATTTGCACTTGTATGGATTTCTCTGAAAAATTTTAATGGTCCTGAGAGTCAGTATTGTGGGAAAATTTACTACTGGAAAGCAAACAGAGACATCTAAAAAAGAAAGATGAGTAAGAAGAGGACCTAGTCTATGATTTAATTGGAATCAATGGGAATTGTGCCATTTGCCTTTGGTGGCAGCAGAATCAAAGCTGAAACACCAGCTGTAGTTTATTTTAGATTGCTGCCTGTCTGAGTTTAGATTTCAGATATCTCCACAGGGTTCCTTTTCTTTTAACTATCTACAGTTTATGGCAGCAATATATATTCTAAATATTTTCCTCTCCCAGAGGATCAGTTGAGCCTGTAAGGTCTGTGGGTGAGACAAAACCTTTCCCATTTTTCCCCAGAGGGAGGTCTGCAAGGTGTGAGTCTAGAAGGGGTGAGTATTGCACCACAGGAGGATGTGCCTCGGGACCGGGCCTCCAAAGCTGTGTGAACGCAAAGGTGAGAGATTTGAGCAAGTTGTGCTACTCAGCACTTCTCAGGTAGAGATATGGGGAGCAGAAGCCAGCTAAGTGGGCTGGAGATGGAGCAGCCTGCGGGGTGGAAGTCTCAGCAGGCCGTTGGCTGAGAATTGAGCTCTAAGGGTGAGGAACCAGTGGGGAAGATGGGGTGGAAGAGCCTGATGTTGCCAAATCAGTCCTTAATCTCTTGGAAAGTGCTGCATTGTTGTGAAACAGAGCACAGGGGGAAACATCCTCATGTAGGGAAGAAGAGAAAAATAAGGCCTGAAGTCAAAGAAAGAGACTTGCAGAAAGCAACAGGGAAATGGTATCCATTTTGGGTAGATATGAGTCTGTTTAACATTAACAGTTTTATTTGAGTAGCTGTACTCTTCTTGCTGGTAAATGTATTTGATTATCTTTGGGTGATGAACGAAAAATGGTAGTCACTCAGAGAACAAAGTAGTTGCTGAGAAATCAGCATCTTCTGCAGCCCCTACCTGCTCTTTTAATACTGGTTAGTGAGAAGGGACAGGCAGAGATCTCTGCAGGAGGTTTAGACAGGGAGACACTAGTGGTGAGCACTTGAGGCAGAAGATTACCTGAAGAATAGATAACTTTGATGCTGGATGGAGAAGAAAAGTTTTAGAAAACAAAATCCAAGAAAAATAATGCGAATGTTGGGTAGGGGAAATGCCTAAGGTGCTAGGGCATGAAAGTAGCAGCGTCCACGGGAAGGCATATATGGAAACTATGAACATGTGCTGAGCTTTGTAGCAACCTAGTCAGGAATCACTAAAAAAATCACTAAAAAAATGTGGTGAGCAGCATCTTAGAGAAAAAGTTGTGGTTTGCAGAACTTCAAAGTTTCCTGGAGTGCTCCTGCTGTGGGTCATCTCGCCTGACAGGTTTACTGAGGCAGAGCATCACAACTGTGTTTTCTCCCTATCCCTTTTTATCTGGTCAGAGGAGAGAAACACTGGACATGAAACAGGTGCTCAGCTCTGCTCCAGTCCTCTCAATGGACACGATCAAGTCATTGATCAAGCCTTCATATTTCAAAGAAATAATGAAAATCCTCCCGCTCTTCCCCTTAAGCGCTGTCTCCCAGAGATGTATGTTACTGAAGGTGCCCTGAGCAGACGCTATCTGACATTATAATAGAAAGCGACCGGTAGGCAATTCTCTCTGCTAGAGCAGCCAGAGCTGAAGAGGTAATATAACCTGCTATAAGCAAGGACAAATGATGACTGAGATGTCTCTATCCCAATAAATTGTACAACACATACTCTGCTGTCCTTTGGTCTGATCCTGCGTTTCTTGAATATTCTAATGTGCAAATAATGTTGAGAGGAGTTTGGGGCATGGGGAGAATGCAGCTAAGGCTCAACAAGTAAATGGTATTAGCGAATGATTGCATGAAGCACAAAGGCCACCTACAAAGGTTCTAGTGGCAGTAGTCAAATGAAGGTTTGTTGAGTTGTTCTGAGTAGGAAGGGTGTTTCTGCTTTGCTAAAAGAAACAGTAGAATTCGTGAAGCTGAATGTTAATGAGACCATTCAAAACTAAAATAAGGGTAGCCTATCTCTGTCAATTAATTTGAATAGTATCATTCTTCACTGAAAGACTTGTCAAGCATTGGAACAGGCTGCCCAGGGAAGTGGTTGAGTCACCACCCCTGGAGGTATTTAAAAGACGTGTTGATGTGGTGCTGAGGGACATGGTTTAGTGGTGGGCTTGGCAGTCCTAGGTTAATGGTTGGACATGATCACCTTAAAGGTCTTTTCCAACATAAGCAAATCTATGGTTCTGTGATTCTGAAGTTAAAAAAATACCCAAACCCAAAACCTCAAACAAACCAAAGCAAAACACATTGTATCAATTTTAATTTGTTAACATTATTTGAATGTTATGTGCTTTCTACAGCTCTCTGAGCCACAAATAAATAGATGGGATCCATCTCCCAATTATCTGGACTAGGTTCTTGTTTCAATCTGATTGCATCGTGTTGAAAATTCTCTGGGCAAATGCATGCATTCAGATACTCTTTACTGAAACCTGGAAATAACGAGACCAGTTAGCAGTGTAAGGGACCATACTATTTACATTATCTCTTGTTCAGCTCAAAAATTCAGTTTCTCTTTAACAGGTTTTCTATGTGTTTTCATGAAGCACTTTTCGAGGAAAGTCATGCAGGAGGGAAAAGTGTTCAGGAGCAAGTGATATCTCCATGAAGTGAAATTAATCTATTCACTATCACCCAGAGCCTGACAATTGATTATGGCAAATGTATCAGCCCAGAGGTAAACACAAAGGAGTTTATTAATGTGGGTGGAATGATTGGCATGAAATAGAAATAGTATTTAGCATTTGTAAAGCATTATTATTCTGATTAAACGAAACAATTTTAATATAATGGTTCAAATAGACAACATCCTTTTTATAGGTAGAAAACTGAGGCTTATTGAGGCTTAATGACACACAGAAGGTCACACCACAAGTTTGAGGGATTAGCAGCTGAATTAGAAGACCTGACTTCCATTGTAATGCTCTACATTAGATGACAATCCACAATAGAAAGAATGGAAATAAAAAAAGACAGATGGAGAATGAAAGGAAACGTGCATAAGTGTTTGAAATAAATATATGCAGTGGGCAAGAACGAAGCTGGTAATTGAAACCTTTGCTCACTTTTAAAGAGAATTAAATGTATTTGCTTGCAGTGCATTTGGAATAACAGGCTACTGAAAGGGATGATGGGGCCTGTGAGAGAAAGTGAAAGCATTTACTGAGGATGTTGCTAAAAGCTATATTTTTGCCTCCATTTTCAGGAAGGAATAAGAGGACAGATGGCAGAAATTTCCCAAGGGAGAAAAGAGAATTACCAGAGAAGATCAGGATCAGACCTGCACAGGTGATCATGAAATCGAAATGCCTGAAAACTCAATTTCTCAAGGTCGATATAGCCCATGCCTAGGTAACCAGCCTCTCTGAATTCTGAGGCAAATGAGACAAAATGAGAAAACTGGGAGGTGCTGGAGGACTGGCAACAGTGTAGTATCAGTGACGACCTAGAGAAAATCAAAGTACATCAGGGTATGGTCAGCTGGGTGGTTTCTATTTTATGTATGTTTTCTGCACCACACTCATCACTGGAGTTTCTGAGCACATTCATCAGCCATGTGGTCTTAGCTCGCTCAGCCTCTCCTCCTGGGAGTAGTATGCCTTGGAGGGCCTTGTTTCAGGAGCATTTTTTGTTGTTATTAGTATGTGTATTGTAGAATATTTGTTGCAATAGGATGGGCTGAGAAATGCATCTTGTGCCTGATCTGGAAGGTTGTAGGTTAGGAAGGAGAATGAATTTCACAGTATCAGTTGCTCCTGGACAAGGTCTGGTCGGACTGGAAATTGCTGGAGATTTAGCAGACTAAGGACAGGAGTTCCTCTTCCCTCCCCATGGCTGTTGACCTTATCTCCAGCTGATTTGTGCCTGCTTTCTCTCTGCTTTAGGGATAAAGACCCTTTTCAGACATGACCATCAGACTCCAGCTGTACAGAGGAATGCAATTCTGTTCCAGTCCCAGTTTAACAACCAGATTTTGTGAGATGTCTTGTTCTTAATGCCGTGGGAGCCAAATGCCTAAACATCTTGAAAATCTGTGTTGACTTTATTCCAATTTTGTCCATCTAGAAATTGCACAAGTGTATAAAGTGTCCCTGTGCTTTTGCATCATTTAGGTAAATACTGTAGTATGAAAAGAGACAATAGCCATGGGGAGTGTGCCGGAAAAGCTGAAGAGGAATATAGTGAGACAGCTTAAATACTGTGATGTAGTTATTCATGGTTGAATATTGAGTTATTCTCAGCATGATTGCATGAGAAATACTATGTCTACCAAAGAGAATCTGTTTAGTTTTGACTTCTCTGAGGAAATGCAAAGAATTCCAGTGGATTGACATTGTGATTAGAATTTAATTTTTGGACCTTTTGGAACAACTGGATATTATAAACGTAACACAGGGTGATCAAGCTTATTCAGTGCCAAGGAGTGGGTTCCTAGTTTTAGAGAGCCTCTTCCAGATCAATGTCCAGAGTATTAGGATCAGAATTATTGATCCTTTCTCTGTCATCTTAGTGGACATCACAGAGCCTTGCCAAGGGAGGCATGAGCTCTAGGAGATGCTCAAAAAGTGCTTCATTTCCCATGTTGTTGGTAATGCGTGTTTCTCTTATGTCAAATCCTTCTGTCTGGTCACAACTGAGCTGATGATGGGCTTGACGATTGTCTTGCTGGATCCTGGTTGGACTGGACAAAAGAAAAATTTTTGGACAACTAGAAACAAACAGAGAATATTTTGAGCTGGAACTACCAAGTTACTAACCCTGACCATTGAACTGTCATAGGCACTCCAGGATTTCATATAGCCTCAATTCTATCTCAGTAATTTTCCTTAACAAACAGCATTTTTTCTGACATCAAGAAATGACTTGGAATGTCTGTTGTCCCTTACTCTTATGTTATTATGAAATCTAACTTAAAAATATTGTGTGTGATATACAGCATGTTAGCCTCATCTAAAAGGTGCAAGCACTGATGCAAAAAGTCACTTGTCCTGCACGCATGCCTGGTGTTGCCCACAATAAGGATGTGTTTGAAGGAAAGAATAGGTGGAGAAGAGGTCATGCGTGGCTGATGTTGATCGAAGCTATGTTTGTGCCCAATAAAGTAAAGATATTGTTCAGTACTTCCTGTTCTTGTGAAAATATTACTGTTGTACTAGTACCAACGTATCTATGTGTGTCAATCGTCTCTCATGCAAGCACCAGCTGGGGAAATTCATTCTGCCCCATCACATATGAAAGAAGCTCAGCTCCTACCTCTGTGTTGCTCACAGCACTTAGTGGTTTAGTGCCACCATGTGCACGGGCCGTCCCCGTCCCCTTCCCAGCAGCGCTGAGGGGGAGAGTTTGTGCTCACACAGCATCTAAGTCCAGATCAGAGGTGTAGCTCGCATGAGTAGGATGCAGGTGGTGGGAGTGGGAGTGTGCGATCGCTCGCAGTCGCGCTGGGTGACAGCTAACCAAGACGGCTTCCTCCGCCCACGCGCAGGGCCCAGCTGAGGGTTTTTTTTTTCCTGTTCTCACTTGCTGTCAAGATGTGCAGCGGGCTCTCGGTCGGAGCGGGTGGGATGAGGTCACGTCCTCTGTACCATGTCAGAATGGGAGTGACTAGCATCTCCCATCTCAGTGCATGAGGAGAGGAGCCAGCTTCCAGAGAGGTCTGGTGGCACTGGCAGTTCTTGGTGAGGTGTTATCCTCTGAGAAGCAAGTTCCCTTTGCTGAGACTTATTTCTTACACTGAATACTGACCAAAGTTACATGTAGGTCTACATCAGCAGCAAATTTGTCCCTGGGGTCTTCGTCCTTCAGTTGTTTAAACCATACTCTTATGATCAATGTGAAGTGGGGTATGAAGAAGAAAATTAATTCTATCTCAGTTCGATGTTAGGCATTCTGTACACTTTAAATCAGCTGTAGATAAAATGGTCAACCTATTTCTCATCCACTGGCCGGCCTTTAGTTTCTCCTTGATTAGATATGGTGTCTGCCTTAATGTGGGCTGAGGCTGGTTGGGTAGACCAAGTTATTGTATTTACTTGTGCAGTAATTGAGACTGATACCCACTGAAATCTCAGCAAGAGTTGAATGAAATGTAATTCTATTGCAGTCAAAGGTTCTGCTTTGTATGGTGCCCTGCACAGTGGTCCCTCACTGAGACTCCTCAGTGCTCTGGTAATAAAAATAAGTAATAGAGCTACAGTTTATAATAGTTTAGTGAGGGTGTGTTGTTTGAATTGCAGTTTACAAGAGCAGACCCTTACCACATCTCTTGTCTGTCTTTTCAAGGAAATCTTAAAGACCTTTTTTTTTTTCTTCTCTTAAGTCTATGTTCTTTTTATACCTGTGGTTCTGTGTACATTGTGTACAGCTTTCCGAGCTGCAAAATCCTACTATGGATAGAGTACCAGTAGGGATAATAAATAGGAACTAAATTTACATTTTTTTTCTCTTTTTTTTTTTTTTTTTTTTTTTTTTTTTTTGGAAGCAATTTACATGTTATGCTTCTGGATCCTAAAGCAAAAGGAAATGTGCTTGACGCTAAAATTGGCTTCGTGGCTCCAGTTTTCTCAGCTCTGCACCACCTGCCTCTAATCAAACTGTCCAATTACAGGAAACAATTGTTTTCTTGCTTTCTGTTAAGTGCAGAAATTCATCCACTAAAGGACTTTTTACCAAATGTTGCTTTTAACAAAACCACTTTCACAATTTCTTTGAAAAAATGTGCTGATGTTTATGTCCAGCATGCATGTTAGAATTCAAACATATGGTCACCGAGATCCACACAAGGTCGTTCACAAAATAGTAATATTTATCTTAACTGATTGTAGGGTTTGGAAATCTCTGTTGTATTGGGAGCAACTCAGTGGACATTAACAGAGTTTCAGTATTGTTGTGATAAGCTGAGAATCAGGCCCTGACCTATAATTATCACAGACATGAAGAGCACTGATAATACAGAAGGGAAATTGGTCTCCCTAGATATGCTTCCTTAAAGTGAGACAATGACTTCAGGCTGTTTCTGAGCTGCAAATCTCCCAGGTGAAGTCTTGCTGGAGTAGAATAAAGTAGAATAAAAAGCAGAGTAAGAGGATCCAGCTTTGGTTAACAATACTTTCCTTGCAGAACTAGACCTCAAATCCAATTACAGCCTTAACAAACTCAGTCAGTCCTACAGAAATACGTGAGATTACATGGAGAAAGTGAATACACATCTTGTTCTCTCTCACTTTAACAACAATATTTACATATCTTCACCTAACAACTACCTTTTATCTGCAAAGAAACAGATTGATAAGGAAAATAAAATGTTAACAATATTTTTTTTAATTTAGGAGCTAACCAATTATACTAAAGGTATTTGATCACCTCACAAACTTTGTATGAAATAAAATAGACTAAGTAAGAGTGCAATGGTCCTAGTTAAGAGGCCTATATAAAAAGACATTTAAAACACTGTATAATTTCCTTGAGAAGCATAAGACAGTTATTGGAAACTACTGAATAGAGGAAACATGAGGAGCTACTATTCACTGTCTCATAACATGAGAAGGTGGGGGGTATTCTATGAAATTGACAGTCGATAAATGCAAAACAGATAAATGAGTGACTCGTAGGCATTAACTAGTAAGCCATCAGCATGTGGAATTAATTTCCATAGGAAATCTATATTAAACTACAGCACAATTGGCAGCATTGCTACAGCCATGTTGAGAGGGGTTGATGTACTAAAAACTACTTTTTGTTTCCAAAATGCCTTTAATATGTGTCTGCGTACAACTTGCAGCTATGCTAACTGGATCAATAGATTCTGATTTCCTCTGTTAGTTGAATCTATGCAGAGGTGTTTGGTATACACTAGAAAAAGCTTTGGAAATTAGATACAATGCACTATGTGAGAATTTCTCTTTGTCCTCATAACTGTACTTGTCTATGCCTTTTTTTTTCCTCCCACATTTTCCAATTTTTCTGCCTTTTAAATCAAGATCAAGAAGGGAACAATGCTGGAGATTTCTATGTTGGCTGGCTTGTACTGTTTAGCAACTTTTTGTTTGTGTGCTGAAGTGGGGGTTGGGGAATATATAACTTTATTCCTGTTATTTCCAAGATTCATTTAGTCACACATGAATGGTTAATCTTGCTGCATTTATATGGATACCGCAGTGGTATATAAGATAAGAATTAAAATTCAGTAACTATAGAACAAATCTCCATTGCTTTTAGAAGAGAATAAAAGAGAAGAGTAACCTAACACAAAGCAAATGTTGCTTGCAGAGCCGTAAAACCCAGACAAAATCTGAAATGCTCCATAAAAAGGGAGCCAGCGTGTTTGCCAATTGTTATTCCTATGGCATGGGTTTTGTTTTATTGTGTAACCTGTTATTTATTACAGTGCCCATCAACATGGTAACATCCATTCTTCACATGATGGGTGCAAATATATTTTATATATGTTAGCCAAACAGCGTAAAGAAATACAGCCTCCGGAGCTCTTAGCTCCAGAGACCTGAGTAGCCAAGCTAATACCCTGACTGACAAGTGCTTGGGTCTAGTGGAAAGTAGGTATGAAG